GGGCTGGTCTCAGACTCGGAAGCGGCTCTCAATATACTTTTCCCATTTCCTAATGAAGATGGAAAGCAGGTGACAAACCATCACCAGCCTAGCAACTCTTGCTCTGTTATATGTAGTTGGGCACTTTCTGTCTCCTGCCTCTTCCAAGGCTGCTGTCCTCCCACTGACCTGATCTCTCCTTTCCCAGGCAAAGTAGACCATTTTTTCCGGGTCATAGAATGACCATCACCCCACTATGATAGGAGATACCTCAGTCACCTTTTTGGGAGTAACTTTCTGCTTCCTAAATGTATCAGTTTGGCAAGGCTGCTGTTACAAATACTACAGATTGGGAGGCTTAAAGAATAGAGATTTATTTATTTTTTTACAGTTCTGAAGGCTAGATAGTCCAAGAGCAAGGTGTCCCCAGGATTGACTTCTTCTGCAGTTTCTTTCCTTGTCTTGGAGATGGCCATCTTCTCTCTGTGCCTTAACATAGTCGTCTTTGCTCTTTGTGTATATGTGTCCTCATCTCCTTTTCTTAGAAGGACGTAGTTCATATTGGATTAGAGCCCACCCCAGTGACCTCTTAAAAGGTCATTTTAACTTATTTACCTCTTTAAAGACCCCAGGCCCCAATATAGTCACATTCTGAGGTACTGGGAATTCAGACTTCAACACATAAATTTTCAGGGGTTATAATTCAGCCCATAACATTAAGATTTTACTTATAACTTCTAGGTTTTATCGTGTCCCCCCTCTTGAAGTTGCCCAGAACGCAGTTTCTGGAGGTACTTTGGAGGTGGGTGGGGAATGGGTCATCCTAAACTGCTATAAACCACCTCACTGGTTGAAAGCGATTGAGAGATGGCTGAGTCCCAGGGTTCTTGAACCCTGGCCCATCAAGGCCAACGTGCCCTGTCCCCTGGAAGGGGTCACTAAAGCCAAGCCATGCCAAGGCACACCTATTTTCCGGTTCAGGGTTTGCCCTTAAGCCCCAGTGGGGAACATGAGTGCTGCGGTGCTGGGCTAGCCCAGCCATACAGAGTGGCATAGGGAGCATCTGGACTGGCCTATACCAGGAGAGTCTTTTTGGGTATTTTAATGAGCACCTACTACATATCAGATACTGCACTGGTTATTTACATTCTTTGAAACGTTTTTGTTTTTGTTTTAAGATTTAAAAAAACCTACCATCCACTTTATTATTAACACCCAAAATGTAGGAAGGACATAACCATAGAGTAAACAATAGTCCTTTGCATGGACATAATTTAGCTTTACAAATACTATCCTCTCCTTGTTTTTCTCCTTCTGCTATGAACCAGGCTGGACTTTATTATAGAGAGTATTGTTTGAGCTTAGCTTTGAAGAATAGGAAGTTGGTAGGTATGGAACTAGAGACAATTCCACAAGAAAGAATGAAGTCAAGAGTGTTACAGAAAGAACATAAGGTTTGGAGGTAGACATAGGTTGTTTGGAATCCTGGCTCCAGTATATGTTGAGTACGACATAAAGAAATATAAACCCATGATATGGGAGCTTTCTGGCTTCTAGATCTGGGTAATGGGGTGTTCTTTTGCCTTAGTTGTGGTAGTGAGGCCAGAATTAGGTAGCCCCATTCATATTCTGAGACTGATGGTCCCCCAGATTCTGTGAAACAATCTTGGAATTATCATAGCAGTTTTTTCTTCCTTTTATACTAAAGTAGCCACAGATACACATGGGATGGGCATTAAGTTGCTGCCAGTCTTAGGGAGCTGTGGTTATTGTCGTCTGGTTATAGTGCAGTTTCTATAGCGTTCTGTGGCCCTGTGATGCATTCCAGCCAGTTAGAATCCAGCAGCAGGCAGCTACACACCTTTGGGTGCGATATCATAAATATGGATCCATTGATAGTCCTTGGGGATTAAATCCGATCCCAGAGATTGGTCTCATTTTGCAACTGTTAGACAGAAACAAGCCTCCATCTCCTTGTTAATTAGCTGAGAGGAGCTGACACCAAAACCAGGGAAAGAGACTACGGCAAACTGAAGAATTCTTTGCTTTACCTTCCTCAATATATTTTGTTCCCTTTTATTCTGCTCCTTCCCACTAAGTAAGAAACCTTCTACATTTTCAGAAAGGGTGTTTTTTTGTTTTTGTTTTTGTTTTTTTTTTTGGTCTTAGATGGGAAGAGACTCTGCACATGTTTGTGCACTGAGTAGCAGGAGCCAAGAAAGAGAGTAACAGATGGAGCAAGACCTTGGCAGAAGTAGGAGTTGATGGAATTTGGAGGGGATGGAGGGATCCCCACTCCTGCAATGTTAGTGCCCACATTCCCCCCTAAGGGTACAATAAAAGCACACGTGGATCATAGAGTTTGCTAGCCAGACACCCATGGCTGGGTCCCCATCCCAGCTCTACCAGGAGCAAACTGGGCCACATGAGAGAATAATTTCTCGAATTGCCTGTTTGAGCCTCAGTGTCTTCCTGTCTTAGAAAAAAATACAGGTCATGCTGAGCCCCTAATCGTGCATAGGATAAATACTCATAAATAATAGCGCTCTCTACTATCCGTGCACTGATACTGTGTGCTATAAATTCTTGTTCATCAAATGCAAAAGCAAAATTAATATGCTGAACGATTCATCCAGATTAGTGCATGTACATATTTATGACCATAATGCATTGCATGTGGACTCCTGCTTTGCTGGCAGATTCATTAGCTGCTGGACACTAGAATATTTACAGAAGAATCAACATAGCCTACAGGTTGAGAGCCTGGATTCCAGAGCCTTACTGCTCCGGTTTGAATCCCACATGATTAACTAACCTGGCCCTTGGGCAAGTTACTTAACCTCTCTGTGCCTCAGTTTTTTCATCAGTAGAATGAGAATGATGACAGTAGTATTTCTGTCAAAGGACTGGTATGAGAATTAAATACATTAGTATTTGTAAAGTGTTTAGAATAGTGTCAGGTACATGATAAATACTGTAATATGGGTACTCATTAAAATAAAGAAGCCAAAGTAATTTCGGCTCAAGTGATCTGTAGAATCATATACATTTTTTAGAACATGCTAATTAGAATCACATTTTAAGCTTAAAGAATTACCCTTTGGGGTTCAAAACCTGGGTAGAATTACATTCTAGTGTCTATTTTTAAGTCTTCAGTGAAAGAGAGTCTTTAGGTAAACACTTGGAGATGCTAATGGATTTACTGGGGTGGGCGGGACTCTCTTTGAAATTTTGATGACTCACACCCACATGCAGATCCTGACAGTGGCTTTGAAGTTTTGATGGCTCACCCAGATATGCAAATCAAGAATTAGTTTTGAACAAGAAATTTGAGGCCTCAGCATTGTGCTAGACTGAGGAGTGGGCTAAGTTGCAGCAGTGAGAATGCAAGCTAGTGACCTGGGAAAATTTACTTGTTGTACAAGGCACGGTTCAGCATGACCCCAGGGGGTCTTGTGTAAAGCGTCTGCAGCCTTTGACCCAGCTGGTCTGTGCCCTCGCCCAAAGGACGATGAAGCTGGACCTGCTGGAGGCCAGGCCGATACCCCCTTTATTACTTGTTCTTCCCCTAGTCCTGTGGATTGGACCCTTGCCTCAGTAACCCCCAATAACCATTAGCTGTCCTCTGTGCCAGCTTAGATAGGACTGCTGCTGAAAGTAGGGAGTCTCTTAGGTAGAGAGTTGCAGACCAGCATTTCATAATGAGACTGACTTAGCCCCGCAGCTGCTGAGAAGTGGGTCTGCAATAATAGCCGTGGCACGTGTGAAGGGCACCAGCCAAGCAGCCTGTGGGACCAGTATGTGGGGCGACTCTTGGGGTTCCGAGCCCGTGAGATTCTTTGATGCCCTACAATTCTTAGACTAGTGATAAGAGATCAGTTGAAAGCATAGGGCCAAAGCCTGCTTCTAAGTTTCAATCCCAATTGAAAACAGCACTCACTTACTAAATTCCGCACTTTGAATTAGGAAACATGTTAGTTCCAGAAAATATGAAATTATGTGTACATGGTATAAATTTAAAACTCACAAACATAACCAGCACCCCTTTCTGCAAATACAGAAATCCGTGTGCACCCCACACAGACAAGTCTGAGAACAGTTGGGCCCTGATGTTTTCCATTTTCCCTTTGCCAGTTATGCATTCATTTACTTTGTGTCATGGCAGGTAGGAAAACGCTTTAATTTACAGAAGCTTATTTATTTCTTGCTAGTGGAGAAAAGACTACATTATTCATTTTAGCAGAGGCACACACCTCTGTCACTGACGATGGCCCCAGAACACTGGTGCTGTGTACAGAATCCTGGGGGCAGCCCAAAACTCAGAACGCATTTCTTGTACTTTTTTTCCTGGAGAAGAAAACTCTTAAAATGTTTCTAAATGTGTTACATGCAATCCCCTGCCCAATCTGTTGGTAAATATAGGCAGGTCTTGTTCCCCTTCATGTGGCGTAGCTGCTTTGGAAATTACTCACATCAAGTGGGGACGTGCGTCCCTCCCCATCGCTGGGGAGGCGTGTGGTGCTGGCTTAGCCACAGCACAGGGCTTGGAGTCAGACTTTCCTTCCCTGGCCTAGTTCCCGGCTCTGTCATGTGTCTGCGCCTCTACCTGGGGCAGTTACCTTACTTCCCTCCCTGTTTCCTCGTCTGTAAAGCTACCATGCATGATCAGCGTGCTCACCTGGGGTGGCTCTTGTGAGAATTAAATATGATTACATATAAAACATTGTGAATAGCGTCAGGTACAAAGTAAGCTCTCATTAAATGTTAATAATTACTACAAATGATACAAGCATTGTGCTGACTCATCTGTCATTAATACCTCTTCTCTGGGAGACAGAAATGCTATGAAAGTACTGCAGAGTCTGAGTAAAAAGGTTGGGAGTTAGCCCTGCGCATGTGTGCCCTGGGTGTCTCTGTAAGCTCAGTAGGTGAAAGGGGCCTGGGATTGGGGCAGTTGGTACTGAGGCAAATCCCAGCTTTCTTCTTCCCTGAACAAATCTAACATCAAAACCCTGTTTCAGGTGATTTGGGTGTCCACAGTGGGGAGGAACTCCAGCTCACCACCACCATCACTCACGTGGACGGACCCACCGAGATCTACAAGTTGACCCGCAAGGAGGCCCAGGAGTAAGAGGCTGCGGCACCCGGGTGCAAAGGAATGCTCGAATGCTCGAGGCTCGTAGCTGGGGTTTCTTGGACCTGCGGCATGGACATTTGTCAGTTTGCCTTCTGACTGTAGCTCTCGGAGTAAGATTCCTCCTGCGGCCACTAATGCGTTGTGTATAATAACAAAACCTCTGATATGACACATTTTCTGTGATCATTGTTAATTAGTGACATAGTAACATCTGTAGCAGGTGGTTAGTAAACCTCATGTGTTGGGGGTGTTCTCCTTGGGGGATGGTTTGGGCCAGATGGGGTCTATATGGAGTGGAATTATTTGACTCTTTTTCCTGTTTTAGATTCTAGGATAGATTTTAACATTTTTTGCAGCCCAGGATAGGCTGACGTCATAGTCTTCTCAATCCTAGTCTGTGACCACTTGTGTTTTGTTTTTCTATTTATATCACCAAGTAGCCTATTGAGTTAATATTTAAGTTGTCGATAGATATGTGTCCCTATTTTTTATGGCATAATATAAAATAACTGAATCTCATGAGAAGGTCTGTTACGCCAGGGGCATTTCAGCTTTGAAACCAAATCTGTATATCCAATACTAACCAGTCTGTTGGATGTGGGTTTAAAAAAAAAATGTTTGCTAAACTACCCAAGTAGGATTTACTGTATTAAATGGCCTTTGGGTCTGAAAAGCTTTTTTAACCCCTTGCTTAAAATGTGTTTTCTTTTGATAAGATGCTTCCAACAGCCTCCAACAGTGTAGATCCGATCATTTCAATAAACCTGTACGTGTACGCACATATGTATATGCACACGTCGCCGTCCTGCCCTTCCAGCACACGCGCCCCCAGATTCTTTTCCTTGCTGAGTCTGTGGGGTAGGGAGAGGGTGGGGAAACAGCCTTATGAAAAATTAAAATATTTTGCCACCAAATCAGAGTGCTTGGGGATGGTATCTATTTCTGGAAACAGGGTAATATTTTCTGTGCTGGGTGGTTAACCACCACCCCCGCCCCAGCCACAATGAGTGGCCACAGGGGTGGGGAAGGGAAGTTATAGGATGTACAAGCACACAGCTGCCCCCACCACCTTATTCCCACTTCCCCAGTAGCCTGTTTCATTGTATTTTAACCCTGCCTTTGAAGAGACAACATGGTACAGCAGAGAGAAAGGATACTGGGTCTGACGTTAGAAGGCTCAGTTTCCTGTCAAAGGTCTCTCATTAACAATATGACCTGTTGTAGCCACCTGACCTCGCTGTCCCCTCACCTACAAGCTGCCACTCATAAACTTTAACTGCTTCATGGACTTGCAGTGCCAATTAAATGAGTTAAAGTATATGGAAATGTCTCTTAAACTCGAAGCCATAGAAATGTGTTCTTCCTGAAATCTACAAGCAATTTTGTATTTTTCAGACACACACGCCTGCAGGTCTGGGGCACAGTCCATGCAGTGTACCCACTCAGCAGCTCCCATCATTCCTTCTCCCTGATTTTGGCTAAAGTCATGTTAAGCCACAGTGGAAAGAAATGCTTTGGCTCTTCTCCCAGGCCTTTTCCTGTCCTAGTCAACATGTGATGGTGTATGATCCAATGCATTCACCGTCCACTGTGGTGCCAGAAATTCAGCATAACCTGTGCCTAATGGTCTGCAAGGGAAGATAAACCTAAAACATGACTAGTGGTCTCCTCTCCCAAAGGATGGAGGGAGAGTTTCTTCTAAGGACATAGGAGAGGACTGAAATAGGCCTGGAAGGAATAAGATTATACCAAGGCCAAAGGGCAGCGGGAACAACAGTACCAAAATCATAGAGGATGTGAAGAAAGAACAGAGAATGTTTGGATCAGGCTGGTCCTCAGGCTTGGCTGGCCCATGGAAGGAGGGGAAATAGCAGATGAGCCCCATGCACCTTGAGCCACAATGGGAAGGGTTTCTAGTGCTATGGTAAGCGCTGTGTTTTAGGCAGAAAAGTGATAAGATCGGAATGACCACCAGAGCATTGAGAACCGAGATGAGCCCAGCAAAGAGAATCACAAGGGCCAGAACCAGGGTGATAGTAGAGGACATGGAGTTACTTGGAGATAAAATTGACATGGTTTGAGTGTTCTAAATGTGAGCCTTATGAGAATCAAGAGCAGAGTCAAATCTCAAGCTCTTGTTGTGGAAGGGAATGGTAGGGCCCTTGACAAAATTAGAGATTCCTAGCGATGTGTCTGTGTGTCTATTATGTAAAGGTCTATAAGTAGTAGAAGACAACTCTAGCAACCTTGGCTAAAAGAAGGATTTTACTAGCACTTTCCTAAAGTATCTCACGGATCCATGAAAGAGTGGAATTCACCAGAAAGATTAGTAACTGGGACAACTCTAAGAGGCCTGAGCATCAGGAATTCATGGACCTTCCCCCTAGAGCTGTACCTTCACAACTAGTCCAAATTTCAGTCTCACTGAAAAACTGGGAGGGAGTACGTGAGTGGTCAGCCCCAGTCAGGTGCCTATCTGTTTCCCAATTAACTGTGTTCAGGAAGTCAAGTCAGGCTGCTAGTGGCTCACCCTGTGAATTGGGGTCAGTTTCCAGAGAATCCGTTTTGAGCTGGACAAACACTCAGAAAAGATCTGCCACGATGTGCAGGATGATGAGCTTGGATTTGCCTGGGATGTTTTAAAAGCCATCTTCTAGAAGAATTGACAACCTAACCATCGGGAATGAAAGAAAAAGCAGACCACTTGGGGTAGGAGGCTTGGCGGTCATCATCATTGAGAATAAAGTACAGCTGGAGCATGGCATCAACGCATCAGGGAAAGTAACTGGCAAGAGTGGTGAACCAGGCACAGCCTCGTTAAAATGGGAAAGACAGAAAATGAAGTAGATTACCCAGAAAAACGCAACTTGTCAAAGAAGCCAAAGAAAAAGCCAGATTCGTGGGGGAAGAAGTTAGAAATCCTGACATGTGACAGCGTTTAGGGAATGACACCTGTTGGATTTGGTGGTTTGGATGTCTGTGACCTTCTCGAGTGGTTAGGACAGAGGTTAGAGGTGGAGCAGAATTAATGGGTGGTCATTTGGGGGAAGGAGAGAGGGAGGATTGTTGCTCCAAGAGGAACCAGAGTAAAGGGAGGGCTTGCTTTTTTTAGTCTGAGGAGAGAACTGGACTGAATTTGTAAACCTGAGGAGTGAGAGCCAGCCATGAAGTCAAGATGATGATGAGGTAACATAAGCCCCAAGGAAGTGCAGAGATTTGGGATCAAGGACACAAGTTCATGGGTTAGTCTCAAAAGAGTGAAAGTTTACTTTTCATCCTGAGAGAAATAGCGGATGGGTGTTGGAGGAGAAACTTGGAAGTCCAAAGGAGAGAGGCTGCAGCCTGTCCCTCTGGGTGTTCTGTTTCCTCTGCAAACATGAAATGAGAAATGGAGTTCTGCTAAAGATCTCAGTTTCGAGAATGCAGTTTGGGGGCGCCTGGGTAGCTCAGTCCGTAAGCGTCCAATTTTGGCTCAGGTCATGATCTCACGGTTCGAGGTGTCGAGCCCCATGTCAGTCAGGCTCAGAACCTGGAAGGAGCCTGCTTCAGATTCTGTGTATACCTCTTTCTCTGCCCCTCCCCTGCTTGCATCCTGTCTCTCTTTCTCTCAAAAATAAACATTAAAAAAATTTTTTTAATGCAGATTGAACACAACTATTTTCCATCAGTGGGAAATTCAAGAAAGTCTTCAAGTGGTGAGAAGCCTTTATTAAGGACCAGCAACCTAGAGAAAAAAATTATTTCTTGGTCATGGATACCAGTTTTACAAGTTGTCCTGAATTTTGCAGGTGGCTTTGAAGTGTATTCTAGAAAAGAAGTATAAGCTTCCCCAATTATCTGCTTTTAAAAAATAAGAAAATTCACCAACATATTCAGCAAGCAAATAAAATACAGTTGCTGTTTAAAAGAGAAAACAATCAGCTTTATGGGTTCAGTCCCACTGAGTTTTTACCAGGTGTTCCTACATTTTCCCCTTCTGGGAAGAAAATGTGCATACTAATGAAATAAGTGGTTCCCTACATGACCTCCAGGTACTTTTAACCTTTCTCGGAATGGAGATAAATCACTGCAACAGTTCTGATGTCCAAGTCCCTCACTGCATTTCCCAGAGCTGGTGGAGCCCCTGAAGTCACACCCCTTGCAGGTACATTTGAAAAGGTTGAAGGAAATTCAGAGGGAATATTGGCCTTGGGTCTCATTCACACCTTGGCAGTTCTAGAAATGATGTTTGATCAACTCTTTCAAATTGATCAAGCTCTGAGAGGCTGACTGGTCATATTGGGGAATCTCAATAAACTACAATTCCCATTCAATCTTTTACAATGTAGCATATACATACTTTCTGTCCAGTAACCATAACGGCTAAAAGAGGAAACAGAAGAAAGGGATAACATGTCAACCACAAGAAACCTGAGGGATCATCCCTGAGCGTCCAAGAAAATACACACAGCTCCCTCCAAAGTGCCTAGCATTATGTGGGAATTCAATCGGGGAGGGTTGGTGAGTGAGTGAACATACCTTGGCTAATCCTAATCTCAGTTTGCTGTGGAAACATGAATTCTTTAGGAGCCCTGTCTTTTCTTGATTCAAGCCAACTTTGTTCCTTTCAGGATATGTTAGTGCTCCTGATTTGGCCGAACTTGCTGCTGCAACCTGACTTTCATGGGACCATACCACTGTCCCCTGTATTTCAAGGTCCTTTTGTCCTGCTTGGGCTACAAGAACCATTCTGATTTCTGCAAGCTTGCTCTCACCCGTCATACTTTGATACATGACTGATTTGGCTGTATAGAGATAACTTGGTTTCTAAGACCATGTCAGCAGTGCCTTTTCTTTGGACATCAGAAGGGTCTTCTAGGCACTCCTTGAACTGTCCAGTGTACAGAGCTGCCTGTCTGTAGCAATGCACTTAGCTTCCCTTGTTGAGAAGGCCCTTAAGTGTTGAGACCAGCCTTTCCTTTGTGGCTTTTTTGACCCTCCTATTCTTACTGAATTCCTTCCCACAGGTCCTCTCCCACACTGGGCTGCTCTTCTCCAGGTTCGTGTCTCAGTTCCAAAGCTCCTCCTGCAGACATGGTTTCGAGGCCCTTCCCTTATGACCACTTGCCTGTTAACTGCATTCTAATTCCTCACCACTCCAAAATGTGATACTCAGACTGCAGAATTGCTCCAGCTGGCACAGATTAGTGTGACAATAATACTTCTGCTGGGGTCCGACATCCTAAGAAAATTGCACTAGGGTTTTTAAAAATATCTACATCTTTTTTTGCTTCTTGTGACCATGCAACCACTCAAATACTTAGAATTTTAAAAACGAGTATCACCAATACCTTTTTTTGTATTCAGCAACATTTTTCAACTTAATTGTAGGACTTTACATGTATCCCTGTGATATTTCACTTTTCATATAAAGATTCAATAGGTAAAGCACATCTTTAAGTTTTCAAGTAAGCACCGTTTGAAATGTAAGTGCAAGTAGTAAAGTCCTTTCCAAGTGCAACACGGGTTGGTTTCAGGTGCCACAGAATTTACAAATATATTCATCCAAGACCGGAAAACCCTCACAACAGCTTGGACTGCTCTCCTTTGTCCAGCTCTTGCTCTACTTTAGACACACACATACACACATATCCCATTGCTGTTAAACTCCCTTTATTCGTGTGTGTTTTGTAATAAGGAAATTTATAATTTACATATTTTCTTCCTAATATCACCTCTTCATAGTCACATAGTAGATAATAAAGAATGAGGCTCAGAGAGGTAAAGTGATTAAGTTGGA